GTGGTATTGGAATAAAAATAGAAACATAGAATAAAAATAGAAACATTGGAATGGAATAGAATTGAGAACCCAGAAATAAATCCACACTTATACGGACAGTTAATTTATGACAAGGAGTCAAATGCATACAATGGAGAAAGGAAAATCTCTTCAACAAAAACAATAGCCACAAGCAAAAGAATGAAACTAGACTGCTAGTTGAATTAGGGCTTACTACATACATCTTATCAGAATCAATATCAGGTTTATAGCAACTTAATTCCTTTGCTATTTAGTAACATTACATAGCTGTATTTCCTTTCTTCTGTTTTGTTATTATACCTGTAAAAGTCACAAACCTAGTAATTCTTGGTTATAACTATTACCTTTACATAATTTTGTTTTAGACAAACATATATTTATAGATTTTCTTATATTAACCTTCTTATTTATTATGTCTCATTCTCTTCATTTATTTTTACAGATTCAAATTACCATCTGGAGTTATTTCAACTTAGGAGTTATTTTTTTTTTAAGAATTTTTTTTTGGCCTCCCTGGTGGCGCAGCGGTTGAGCGCTGGGTTGCGAAGCTGCCCTCAGCCTCTGCAGCACCGGTTCGATCCCCGGCTGCTCCCTGGCCACTGAAGGAGGGCCACACATGGCTCGCAGACCTCTCCTGCCACCCGCTGCTCCCCTCAGCAGTGTATTTCGTTAGTCTGTCTGTTCTGCTCTCTACCCTAACTCTGGTGAATTCTCTCACCCTCCCATGCTTCTGACTGTACCCAGTGCTTGTATAAATAAATAATAAAAAAAAAATCTTAAAAAAAAAAAAAAGGCAGCGGGCGGCAGGAGAAGTCGGCCGGTGGCCGGGGAGCAGCCGGGGGTCGAACTGGCGCTGCAGAGGCTGCAGGCAGCTTCGCAACCCAGCACTCAACCGCTGTGCAACCAGGAAGGCCCCCAACTTTGGAGTTATTTTACAACTTTGCTCCCATGCACCACCTTTTTGCTGTTATCAGTAATATATTTATATGTTCATTTGCCTGATACTTTATACACACGTTGTTTTATACAATTGCATTTTAAATTGGGTAAGAAAATATGAAAAATACACATTGATGCTGTTTAGTCTAACTTCCTTTAGAATTTCTTATAAGGAGGGTCTGCTAGGAACAGATTCTCTATTTGTAAGTATCTTTTATAATTTAATTTTGTTTTTTAAAGACAGATTTGCTGAATATAGGAATTTTGGTATGCTAACAAGACAGATTTTTTTTAAGACTTATTTTATTTATTTATGCATACAAGAACTGGGTGTAGGCCAGAGGTGTGGGAGTGAAAGGATTAAGAAGACAGATTTTATTTATTTATTTATTTTTAATAGTTTGTAATTACCTTTCATTTGAGTTGGCATCAAGTTCATGAATTTACAGAATTTTTTCTTTTTTCTTATTTTTAATTTATTTTTTACGTCATTGTTCATTTTAAAACAATATTTGCTTCCCCCCACCCCCTCAGGTGTAGTCCCCATAGAGTTTCCTTCACCAGTGCACCCGTGCACCGTCACCTCAGTCCCCTGTGCTCCTCCCTCCCTCCCTCTGATCCCTCTCCTCCTCCTCCCCTGCAGGATGTCTCTGGTTTATAATTGTCTGTTTTTGCTTTGTTGTGTTTTGTGCTGTTATTATTTTTTTACACTGATGTATTATTTGGCTCCCCTATATTCTTCCTATAAGTGAGACCATCCGATATTTTTCTTTTTCCTTCTGACTTATTTCACTGAGCATAATTCCTTCCAGCTCCATCCATGTTGCTGCAAATGGCATGAGTTTATCTTTTTGATTGGTGGATAGTATTCCATTGTGTATATACACCACATCTTCTTGATCCAGTCATCTGTTTTTGGGCATTTGGGTTGTTTCCACATTTTATCTATTATAAATAGTGCTGCAATAAATATAGGGGTACAGGTGTTCTTTTGAATCAATGTTTTTGTGTCCTTTGGGTAGATTCCTAGGAGTAGAATTGCTGGGTCATAGGGTGGTTCCATTTTTACTGGAGTTCCCATGTAAATTACTAGAGTAGTTTTTGGTTTTGTTTGGTTTTGCGCCTGTCTATATTTCTGTCTTTGGCTTTCAGTATTTTTATTAATTATTTAAAGATTTATTTATTTATTTATGCATATAAGAACTCTGGTATAAGCCAGAGTTGCTGGGGTTGAGAGGATTCACCAGAGAGAATGGAGAGCAGAACAGGCAGACCTACTGAAACACACTGCTGAGGGGAGCAGTGGGCAAGAAAGGAGAGGTCTGCTGCACCATGTGGGTTGCTCCCTGGCCGGCTGGGGATTCTGTCTTTAACTCCTGCGCCACCAGGGAGGCCCTGGCTTTCAGTATTTTTACTATGATGTTTCTGTTTGTGAATCTCTTTGGGTTCCTGCTGGGAGTTTGTTGAACTTCCAAGATGCATGGATTGTTTTTCAATAAATTTTAGAAATTGTCAGCCATTACTTCTTCAAATATTGGTGTACCTAATAGTGTCCCACATTTCCTTGAATCTGTTCATTTCTCCTCATTTTTCTCTCTCTATACATCACATTGCATCTCTATTGTTCTTTCAAATTTGTGGATTGTTTTTTCCGCTAATGCAAACCACTTTTGAGTCCTTCTAGTGAGTTTTCAACTCCAGAATTCCTATTTGGTTCTTTTAAGAAATAATGTCTATCTCTGACAGTCTTTATTTGTTGCAACATTTTCATCACACCTCTTAGTCTTTAATCATGGTTCCCTCTAATCCTTTGAAAATATTTATAATGGCTACATTAAATTTGACTTCTGGCCACTCTCACAGGCAGCACCCCCATCCCCCTTGCACTGAATTGGTCATACTTTCCTGTTTCCTTGTATGACTAATACTTTTTAAAAAGATTTATTTATGCACACAAGAACTGGGGTATAAGCCAGAGGTGCGGGAGGTGGAGAGTGGGCAGTGAGAGGATTCACCGGAGACAAAGGATTCACCAGAGACAGAGAAAAAACAGATCTACTGAAATACACTGCTGAGGGGAGCAGCATAGGAGGCAGGAGAGGTCTCCTGTGCCATGTGGGTCACCTCCCTGGCCAAGGATCGAACTTGTGCTATAGTGGCTGCGGATAGCTTCATAGTGCTGCGACCCAACCCCTTGTACCACCAGGGAGGTCCTAATAACTTTTGCTGAAAACCAGACATTTTAGATATTATATTGTAGGAACACTGGGTATTGGTGCCTTCCCTGTGGTGCTTGCTATTGTTAATCACTGAATGGATTACTTTATTTTTTAGTAGATTATGTTTCTCTTCTCTGGTGAACTGCTGATCTTGCTCTTTGGCCTTGTTTCCCTTGTCATACACAAATGTTACACTCAAATTGTTGTTACTATAAATAGCAAATTGTTGCTTTGTTATTTACAATAATGCTCACCAACTAAAACAATGGAATATAGACTGGTTTGAAGAGATATTCCTAGAAACCATTCGTTGGGATTTCTATTGACCTATCTACACAAGCCATATTCTTTCATGCAAAGTTGCTAATCTACAGTTTTACTTATATGTCCAATGATTGCAATATCATCTCACTGCCCTTCGTAACAACCTCCACTGTTTTTGAGAGCACCCTTAGGCTTGCTCTCCTCCACATTGTTGGAAAAGTCTGTTCCTTCAGAAACAGAATAGAAGCACTCTGGTTTATGGTCTGTTCTCTCTCCAGGCAAAATATTTTTTGAGTTATAGTTATGAGATGGAAGTAGGGACAATGGCTTGCTTCTCTCTGACCTTTCCGTTCAGGAACTGAGTGCTCAGCAGGACATTTTTCCTGCTGCCTTTAGAAAGTATCTTTTGCTTCTTCTTCCTGGACTCTCCCATCATGAACTCACTATCAAGCTGGGACAAAGGATTGAGGACCAATACAATACAAAACAAAACAAAACAAAACAAAACAAAAAAAGCAGACAATTATAAACCAGAGACATCCTGCAGGGCAGGAGGAGAGAGAGGGATTGGAGGGAGGGAGGAACACAGGGGACTGAGGTGATGGCGCACGGGTGCATTGGTGAAGGAAACTCTATGGGGACTACACCTGGGTAGGGGGAAAGGAAATGTTACTTAAAAATGTACAATAATGTAAAAAATATATAAATTTTTAAAAAATTTAGAAAAATTAAAAAAAATAAATAACTCAACCAGAAAAATCTCCATGAAAGCTTGGTAGAAGAGAGCCCCCTCCTCACTTACACTTGCCCATAATTTTAGCCTCAGTAACAGACAAGTACAGGCAGGATGAGAAATACTGGAATCCTGCCCCTGAGGAATACCAGCCCACCAGCTGGAAACTGGGCAAGATGGAGCCCAGTGTTCTTGACTACCAAGCCCAGTGCCCATCTTGCTGAGATGAGAGAAAGAAGAGATCTTAGTTCAAACACTAAACTCTCACCGTTAAGTTCTAGTGCATTTCCTCGAATATTTCCTTTTTTTTAAAAAAAAAAAAGATTTATTTATGCATACAAGAGCTGGGGTGCAGGCCAGAGGTGGAAGGGGTGAGAGGATCCACCAGAGACAATGTGGGGATCAGAACAGGCAGATCTACTGAAACACACTGCTGAGGGGAGCAGCAGGCGAGACAGGAGAGGTCTGCTGTGCCATGTGGGTAGCTCCCTGGCTGGCAGGGGATTGATCTTGTGCCACTGAGGCTGCAGACAGCTTCACAGTGCTGTGCTTAACCCCTTGCGCCACCAGGGAGGCCCAGATCTGTACTTTCTAAAGGCAGCAGGAAAAATGTCCATGTTTTTGCCTTGACATCCTTAGACATTGAGAATGAGGGAATATAGGGTGTAATGTAAATTCAGGGTACCGAGTAGTCAGGTGCTACAGCCAGAGAACCTCGGTTCAGATCCATTTGGTTCTCCTGGTTCTCTAATGTACAACCAGAGTGGTCACACTGCATCAGAGAATCTGAGAGTCATTATCACATGTAAATCCAAATAGCTCAGGATAATGCTGGAGGGTAACTCGTTTATTTCACCATTTACAATTAACAGCTTATTATTTGAAGGCAAACTCATAGACAGAAACTTTACATCGACTTTACAGATTCTTAAACAGGCATAAGTACATCACAGAAGGACCTTGTTATTGACCATGGTAAAAAGTAGTAATTTTGAGGAAAAAGGGCATCACTGTGATAGAAAACAAAATATATTCCTAGAAAAATAAAAAGCAGTTAAGAAGCAGGCTTCCATTTTCTTTATTAAAAAACAAAAATCATTAACTCACATAAAATATCAACTCATAAAAAGGAGAATGAGAGTCAATTAGGAACTTTAAAAATATCGGACACACTAAAATGTGTGTAGTCTCTTAAATAGTTCAACTTCACGGCGATCTCGATTTTAAACATCCAGCTTTTCCTTTTTGTTTTTTTTTTTTAAAGATTTATTTATTTATGCATACAAGAATTGGGGTATAGGCCAGAGGTGTGGTGGGGGGAGAGGATTCACCAGAGACAGAGTGGGGAACAGAACAGGCAAATTGACTGAAATACACTGCTGAGGGGAGCAGCGGGTGAGTCTGGAGAGGTCTGCTGCGCCATGTGGGTAGCTCCCTGGCTGGGGTTCAAACTCGTGCTGCAGTGGCTGCTGACAGCTTCACAGATTGCATCTTAAACCCTTGTGCCACCAGGGAGGCCCAACATCCAGCTTTTCTTAAGTTTTAAAACCCACGTATTGTTTTGACTGCATGTCATGAATGAGCCTCTTCAACAAAATTAAGATGGAACTCCAACAGAACTCCTTAATATCACCATCTTAAATTTTGCTTCATTACCAAAAACAGTGCTTTCAAGAACAAGATCTTTCTAAGTCCATTTTTATTTTCAAAACAATTTTACTACTTCTTTATATGCACTGTAGAAAACATGAAGGCAGAGTATAAAGAAAATTAAAATAATTTAGTTCTGTCCTCAAAATATAACATGATTACATATGTCTCTTTAGTCTTTTTGTACATTTATGTAGAATTTTAAATTGAATTTAGTACCATAAATGCTTGCATGTCCTTATTTTGTATTAGAGAGCAACCAGTCCATTAAATATTCTATTAAAACATGATCTTCAGTTGGCTGCTTTAAAATTAGGGCTAAACCATAATTTATCTCCCATTTTTGGATATTCAGCTTGTTTTGATTATTTGCTATTGTAACTAACACTATATTAAACATTTTTCCTCATATATAATTCTCTGGTAACACTGATAATTTTTCATGATAAATTCTAGGAGTAAACAGCACAAAGGATCTAAGTTTTTTTAAGTCTTTGAATACATTTTCCCAAACTGCCCTCCAAAAAATTTATCCCATTGTAACAGTCACATCAGTATCTGGCCTATGAGCCCTATTTCTTATTCAGAGGCCTTAGCAACACAAAAATTAAATGCTACTCTGCACCCTTTATTGTTACAAATTAATGAGGGAAGGGTGAATGATGGGGTCTTGTGTTTTTCCTAAGTCATCAAATGCATTTTCCCTCTTTTCCAATCAAAGTCTCTTCGAAGCCAGAGCTGACATGTGCACCGTTTTATCACATGTTCTTCTGACAGGAAAATTGCAGGTCTTTTTCCTGTTTTTCCAAGGCAAGTAGAAATTCCCCAAATGACCAGAATTAAAAGTCTTCTTGCCTTCTGGGCAACCATGCTTTTTTAATGTCTTGGTAGTAAAACAGAAAACTGGGCCGTATTCTGTAAGAGAGAAGATAGACAGAGTTCAATTACTAAGCACTCATAGAAATATGATTCGCAAACCTGTGTGAGCAAGATAATCATCTGATGTGCTTGTTAAAAACAGATTTTGATTTGGCGCTAGGGGCGGTCGGCTCGGAGGCTGTAGAGGAGGCGCTCCCCGGGCCCGGGATGGGGCTGCCCCGGCTGGTTCCCCCAGCCGTGTAGCCGCTGCCGGTCTCTGCTTCTGCCAGCTGAAGAGCTGAGGGGCGTCTCCTCCCTTGCATAGCGAGGTCCCGTTCGCGGAGGCCACGGCTGACGGCTGCGAGGGACGGAGGCCAGAGTATTCCTTTAGAAATGAGTTGCACAATTGAAAAGGCACTTGCTGATGCCAAAGCTCTTGTGGAAAGATTGAAAGACCATGACGAGGCAGCAGAGTCTCTGATCGAGCAAACCACAGCTCTGAACAAACGGGTAGAAGCCATGAAGCAGTATCAGGAAGAAATTCAAGAACTTAATGAAGTTGCAAGACATCGACCACGATCCACATTAGTTATGGGAATCCAGCAAGAAAACAGACAAATCAGAGAATTACAGCAGGAGAACAAAGAATTACGTACATCTCTAGAAGAACACCAATCTGCCTTGGAAATTATAATGAGCAAATATCGAGAGCAAATGTTTAGATTGCTAATGGCTAGCAAAAAAGATGATGCGGGTATAATATTGAAGTTAAAAGAGCAGCACTCAAAGGAACTGCAAGCTCACGTCGACCAGTTAACAGAAATGGCAGCAGTGATGAGGAAGGTCACTGAAATTGAAGAACGACAGGGCTGCAAGGAACAGGAGCGCATATTTCAACTTGAGCAAGAAAACAAAGGCTTGAGAGAGATCCTTCAAATAACTCGAGAATCATTTTTGAATCTGAAAAAAGATGACGTGTCAGAAAGTACTTCTTTGTCAGCATTAGTGAGCAGCAGTGATCTGAGTCTGAGGAAGAACTGAAGAGCTTCCTGGAAGACTACAGACTTCACTGGGACTGGCCGACCAATTGAATGAATGAGCAGAAAACTCCGTCTCATGCTACCCTTTTTAGTTTTTTGTATTATGTAGTGTACTGGCCATCACATTTTTAAGAGATAGCAACAAAAAACTGCATAGTTAATGGTCACAGGCTTTATTCCTAAACATACTGAAAAGTTAAAACTAAGCCTTACTTCGTTAACTGGCGAACAATTTGAGGTTTTTGCAGTGGGTGGTTGCTGAACCTATCAAGCACTTTTAGCAGTATTGTTGGCTTCCTGGATAATACTTGGATAAATGACTATTCCTAGTAAACATTTGAGAATTCATAAGATTATTCCTGTTAAAGAATACAAGTTTAGCTACAATTTTGTAGATGGAGGGTGCTCACTAAATTTTACCCTCCCTGTCTGGTGTCAAGGTTAACAAATAGCATGATATACATGAGGCTTCAAGCTTTAATGATTGCCTATCTACTTTCCCGTTAAATTTTTGTCAAAGAAAATTCAGTTTTAAAGACTGCAGGGATGTTTTGTATGTACCATAAACAAAAGTAATTTGAGCTAACTTGCCATAAATATCTTAGTTAACAATCGTCCATAACTTGTTTAAATATATGAAATATGATTTCAGGAATGAAAGAGAAGGACTATTTTCTAAGAAAGATCTTTTAACAGACATGTAGTAGGTTAAACTACTCCTTTGAAAGAAAAGGTTTCAGTTCTAATAATGAAAATGAGGTTTTATCTCTTTGGTTGATCTGTCAGGACAGTATGTAGCTAAGCTAACAGAGTTGAAATGTTTGAAATAGAAAGTTAGGTGTGGTAATTTTGAAGTAAATTGGTAATTCCTCTGGCTTATAGGCCCCCTTTTTAAAAAAAGTAGTTACTCTTAGGAGATACAGGAAAGGTAAATTAAAATTTCAAAAAAATTTTTCTTGATCTATTCTTACACTCCAGCCGATCCTCATAACCTGTAGGATTTTTCTCGGCCTTTAAGTCAATAGGGCAAAAAATACATGAATTTAGAAGTATTTGTGTTTTTTGTAAAATATCACATCTTGTATGTCAATTTTTTAAAGTCACCATAACAGAAATATGCTTTTAACATCAATTGAAACCTAAAATTTTTCTTATTTTCTGGTGAGTATAGAAGAAAAGTATAAAAGGAATATCAAATACAATAAAATTTATTCACTTATATTAAATACATAGAAAAATCAGCACAATAGAAATCTTTACTTTTGAGTATATAATTTGTTAAATAACTTACTTCATATGGTAACTTTTATGTATAATTTCATATATTGGTAAAATTCAAAACTACTTTTCACTTAAGGAATTTTTCTAAGGTTTGGGGTAAGTGGGGTTGATGGGGCTGACTGAATAGAAAGGGCTAAAGGCCCAAACATTACATTTCTTTTCTCATTCAGAGGCCTTAATTGATATTTTATAAGTAAATGACAGTTCTTGCTTTTCTATTGGTGTTAGGAGATGTATCCCTTAGTTTGATGGCATATTCATTCATATAGTTTCTATCCCAAGTCAGAATTAAAAAACATAAGCCACACCAATTGAGATTTAAGTGTGAGGCAAGTCATTTAGGCAGCTTTATTATAAAAACATTACTTGATAAATAATTATTTTTGTAACCAGTTAATTTATTGTTGGTCTTCTTGCTTCGATATGATTTTAAGGTCTTGGTATTTAAAGACACTGTTGTGTAAGTTTTCCATCCCATACTTTTTTTTTTTTTTTTATAGCAGAACCTTCCTTAAATTTGTGTCAGATAATATGAACTGCAAAGGAGCCTATTTTATCAATAAAGATGAGTGGTTAAAATTGAAAAAAAAAAAAAAAAAACAGATTTTGATTTTACAGAGTGAGGACTCATAGGAAATAAGCTTTTCATAAACTCTAGAAAATTCTCATGTCCATAAAAGTCGAACCATCATTAACCAGATGAGGCTTTTACCTTATCTCGAACTTTTGAGGTCCTCACACTTCTTTCTGTAGAGTTTCATGATGTTTACCTTGGCAGACTGTTCTAAATCTCACTATTTCCAAACCATCCCTCTCCCCAACCTCCCCAGGGAAGTAATCTATTAGGACACATTTATATATATCACCTCCTCCCAGATTATCGTTTAAGAAACATCCATCTTCTTTTACCCATTCACGAAAATTTTAATGTTTGTATCTTCACACAGAAGACAGTCTTGGTCATCACAGCAAGTCATGTCTCTTTCAAACCTCAGCTTAACATAGACTGGGTGTTTTTTTAGGTTATATTTTCCAGAGGAAAGCCATATATACTAACCCCCTTTAAAAATGCAGGGCCTCCCTGGTGGCGCAGCGGTTGAGGGCTGGGTTGCGAAGCTGCCCACAGCCTCTGCAGCGCCAGTTCGATCCCCAGCTGCTCCCTGGCCACCGGAGGAGGGTCCCACATGGCACGCAGACCTCTCCTGCCACCAGCTGCTCCCCTCAGCAGTGTACTTCGGTCCTTCTGCCTGCTCTGCTCCCGGCTCTGGCTCTGGTGAATTCTCTCACCCTCCCGCGCTTCTGACTGTACCCAGTACTTGTATAAATAAATAAATAAATCTTAAAAAAAAAAAAAAAAAAAAAGACTTGAAAGCTGAATATATATTGATAAAAAATTAAAATAAAAACGCACACCCCAAAATCATACTATTGACACACACCTTTCCAGAAGATCTGGAGAAGGAAAGGAGAACACTGATTCCTAACATCTAAGCATTTTCACTTAAAAAATAAAACTGAAATAATAAATTCTTTGCTTGAGAAATCATCTTCAAATTCAAAAGACTGTGGTCAAGATGTAGTGAAGTGAAGAAACCTAAAATAAAACCAAAAAAACACAACCCATCCCATCTGGCAGGTATCATTAGCTGCAGCAAAGAGATGAGTCACATTTCCCACAAATCAATAGCATGCTTATTTAGATAAATTAAAAGTCATGCTCAACTGCATTATATTCAAGTTATTACTCACTGTAACCACTTGTAGTTTAACGTTTCAATTCTTAGAATCTACTTTCTGCTTCTGCTGCCCCCCCTTTTTTTTCTCTGCTGCCCTTTTCTTCAGCATTATAAAGAGTTTCCTGTTTTTCAAAGATGATGAAATGCTTCAAGGGGTTAAGAGGCTACAATTCACCTACATCTGGAGAATTTGGAAAGCGCATTTGTTTCCTAAATATGCAGGCTGAAGCCCACAGACCCAATTCCTGCTCCATGTGGACTGAGAGAAGCTAAATGACAGCTTTAAGTCTTCCTGATTGCCAGTCCTTAAGGCCAACAGAAACCTTAGCTAGCATGTATGCGGTGTGATATACCAGCTTACAAAAACAGACTTAGCAGTGGCTTCATGTTGGTAGTTTGAAATCGCCCATGCTAAGAACATTTACGCTGCATAAATTGGCAAAAAACACAAATCATAGCCCCTCCACTCCCAGCAGTTTTGTCTATCATGTGCTACCACCCTAAAATACAGTGGCTCTCACTCTAGGGTTTCGTCTCCCTAAAGACTCTTCAAGGAGAGTCTCTATCCAAACAGCTCAGACCCTCTCTCAGCTACCTATATTAAGAATCAGTGTGTTCTAGGAGACCTTAGCATATGCTGACTTCTCTCTTTGGATACTAGGTGACTATAGGATCCAGTCACTTTGGGGGATTCCTTATCTAAGGTGGTTAACTGAGAATCACAAAATGTCTGCAAAAATCCGCAATCAGCCTAAATTATATTCTGGGTAATAGGACTAGAGAAGAAGTTACCAAAATGCAATCCCAGCTCGTATTTGTCATTAATAACTATATTAGTTTGTTGCAACGTTAATTAAGTAGACATTGTATGTCAGTGTTTGGAGTTTAAAGGCTGCTAACCCTTAGCACAGATCTACCAAAGGGAAAACAGCTTGGTCAACAATGCAAGCCACGTAGAGCAAGCACTAATAATCTTAAGACTTAGGCAAACACTGCAGAGCAGGACAATATTAAGACCCTGGTAGACTAAGCCACTAAACTCTCCCCCACCTTATTTTTTTTTTTTTAAGATTTATTTATGTATACAAGAACTGGGGTATAGGCCAGAGGTGTGGGGGGTGGGGGTGAGAGGATTCACCAGACACAGAGTGGGGAACAGAACAGGCAGACTGACTGAAATACACTGCTGAGGGGAGGAGTGGGCAAGGCAGGAGAGGTCTGCTGCGCCATGTGGGTAGCTCCCTGCCCAGGGCTTGAACTCCTGCTGCAGTGGCTGCGGATAGCTTCATAGGTTGCGTCTTAACCCCCTGCACCACCAGGGAGGCCCCACTCTCCCCCAATCTTAACTTCCAATGGTCTTGCATCCAATCTCACCGATGGCTAGTATGGTAGAAGGCACAAAAACGTGTAGAAAGTATCTAGGCTAGCATAAAAAACATGAGGATATGGACCCAGGGTGAAAGGCAAATAAGAGGGAAAAAGTAGCTAAGGGTTTCTGGAAGTGTTGGCTTACAGATGGCATAGGCTTACCTTTAGGTTATGGAGTGTCTCTGACCATTCCATGGACCCTATCTGAGGTATGGTCGTGAGGAGTAAACTTTTGGCTTTGTTGGCATTTTCCTTCAGGGTCTTTAAGACCCGGTCCACTGAAACCTAGAGAAACAGTAGCACAGGATGTCAGCAATTAAAAATCCCACTGCTTTTTTGTGGAACATTTTCCTGAGTTCTTATCTTATCTGTGAAATCAGTTTATTCCAGTTTGAACCTCTGAGCCCAAGTTCTGCATTTATCAAGATGGCAGTGGTCCCAAGGGTGGGGTCTCAATGACATCTCTGAAAAGCACCACTGGTTTTCAATATGGTATTTGAGAAACTCTGAGATGACTAACATGCTGGTGCGTTCTAAAGGGTGTGACTGTTCACTCATGTCCTTGAGAATGGGTCACTGTTCTTTAAACTGTGGCTACCCTGGATAGCCAACTGGAAAATAAGTGCATTTGTCTATTGCGAAGTCTTCCAGCTGATAAAGAAACCAAAGTATCACCATTTTTATAGTTCCTAATAAATTAATAGATAGGTTGCTAATACCACAAAACAAAAAACCCTAAAGCCAAAATAACTTAAATGTGCTTCTTGATGGAAAAACAAAACACCGTTATGACACCTGAATCTGACCAAGTCTATAGATCCAACTACTAATTTTCAGAAAATTCAGGGGACAGAGAGACCTGTCAAACAACCCTAAGGAACTGCCTTCAGCAATCATATTGTGGGAAGCTCCATAGGACAATTGCTGTATAGTTTCTTTCTAGAAACTTAGAAGGAAAAAAAGGTTTTTACTGATGCTGTTAACTAGAAACTTGAACCTCGTCTGGATGTTAAGGAATTATCATGGCATGTATCAACAAAATGTGTTTATGTTAGATCTCTCCTGACATGCTTATGCACAAAATTATAGATGAGAATAGAGATGAAATATGATTGGTTGTAATTGGATATCATGGTTCAAACTGGATGCTGGATTCAAAGAAGTGTATACTACTGTCTACTTTTGTGTATGACTGAAATTGCTTCATAAGGAAATTGAAAAGTTATTAATATAAAATAGATGATCAGAGGTCCAGTACTTGTCACTCTTCAGTATACTTAGAAGAAGTGCATGATTTAGGGGGTTCAATGATCACACCTTTTTATTTCCTGGAGTAGAAAAGTCCAAACTTCTCCCATACCAAAAAAAAGTTTGTTTTTTTTTAAAGATGCACACGATAGCAGAAGGGAGACCCAATAGACCCAATACAGTGGGAACACAAGAAAGTGACGCGCTCCCTTAAGTGACCAGCTGAGTGCCTGCCAGTTCATGAGCAGGGATACAGGTTCACGAAGCATCTAAGAGACCCTATCTTATATTAACTCCTTTCCTTACATTTTTCTTGTTACTGATATTTCTGTATAGACCCTTTTTTCTCTTCTTTGTTCCTGCTGTTATTTCCACCCAAATGCTCTTTCTACTAACTCTTTATAATCAAATCTAGTGCTCTGTTAAAGTCCAGCTCAAATCTCAAGTTTCTTTTCTCATAACCTTTTTATCTGGTCTCCCCGTATTTATCAGTTATCAAATGATGACTACCCCTCCAAGGCCCAGCACCAAACTTATTGTTCTACATATATCATTTGGGTTAATTGTCCCAGTAACCCTACAAGGTCAGAATGGTAACCAAACAATTCACATCCTTCACCCAAAGCTCTAGCTGCACCCTACAGAAAGAGTAAATGGAGGGCCTCCCCGGTGGCACAGTGGTTGAGTGCTGGGTTGCGAAGCTGCCCGCAGCCTCTGCAGCGCCGGTTCGATCCCCGGCCGCTTGGGTGAGGGTCCCACATGGCGCGCAGACCTCTCCTGCCGCCCGCTGCTCCCCTCAGCAGTGTACTTCGACAGTCTGCCTACTCTGCTCTCCACTCTGACTCTGGTGAATTCTCTCACCCTCCCGTACTTCTGACTGTACCCAGTGCTTGTATAAATAAATAAATAAATCTAAAAAAAAAAAATAAAATTAAGATGTTAAAAAAGAAAGAGTAAATGGATTCAACAACATGCTTGGTGTCACAAGTAAATGAGCAACAGGAACAGGAAGGTGGATTTAGATAACTCTAAAATTACTTCGCCATGTCAGGCTGCACGTCAGGCTTAAAGCACAAGGACATGACAGCTGGTTGGGATGATGCCATCTTGGTCTGTCTTCCTGTCTTAGAGTTTACTGTACTTTTAACTGAAGTAGTCCCAAGTGACTGTGTTCCCAACCTGACATGACCCAATAAAGGAAAGCATCGGGACTCTGTAGAGATGTGTTCCCAGACTGGGCAGAAAAGGTACAGCCATTGATTGCTGGGAGTGGTGAGGGCTGGAATTTCCAATTGATTGGAACCATTTCCAAACACCATGAGTCTAGAGTTCTTCCTTAAGTAACGGTTAACCGCCAAGTCAGAGATTATATTGAGTCAGGACTTGCAAGTTTTTTGCATAAAAAGTCTCCTACTAGTTGTCATCAGTTTATCATACTAGGAGTCAGGATAAGTCATTCATGCAAAACAAAGAACCTGTGTTCATCTAGGACACAAACTCAAAATACCTGCACAGATGGACAACCACCTTATCTTCCTCTGCTTTCCATGAAATTGGATAGTGAAACAAGCAGCTTCCTGAGAAAATAGTCAAAGTCTCCTTAAAGCTGGCACTTCTTAAATGTGCTCAGAATAGTCACCTCTACATTTGTACCTTACTTCAAAATTCCTTGGCCCTAGTTTTGTCCTTTTCTCTATTTCAAAATGAGATGAACAACAAATGATCTTGTCAAATGCAAGTAATGAAAAGGAGGGAGATGAATATTAGATCAAAAGACACCAAAGAGCCCAGCATTCAAATACCATGTGCGGCTTTTAAGGGACCCCGATTTGAATGGTTCAAAATTATGTAAGAGAGAAAATGCAAACAGTCTAGATAGCTGATTATGTAATGGTATCATGGTTTTAAAAATTATTATTTTATTATTATTATTTTTAAAGATTTGATTATTTATGCATACAAAAGCTGGGGTACAGGCCAGAAGTACGGGGTGGGGTTGAGAGGATTCACCAGAGACAGAGTGGGGAACAGAACAGGCAGACGGACCAAAGCACACTGCTGAGGGGAGCAGTGGGGTGAGTCAGGAGAGGTCTGCTGCGCCATGTGGGTTGCTTCCTGGCTGTCCGGGAATCGAACTCGTGCTGCAGTGGCTGTGGATAGCTTCATAGGGTTGCATCTTAACCCTTGTGCCACCAAGGAGGCCCTATTATTTTATTTTTAAAGGAACTTTTAGAAAAATATTTATATCAAAACAGTGAGGGCCAGGGAAGAGAGAAATGGGTATGGAATATATGTGACATATGACTGACTTTGATGACAACACAAAAGCTGGGTGAAGGGGATGTGGAATTGGGGGGGTTATTATAATAGACTCTGCTTTGATGCTTGAAGTTTTCCATAATGAAATATTTGTTTAGGAAGTTTGCCCTTATTAGTCATATGTCCTCAAACACCAGCTGGGCCTTGCTATCTTTCCTGTCAAATGCCCCTCAGTGATCTCCCATATGAAATCCTTACACCATCTACAAGGCCCAGCCTCCCTCCCATCTGCTCTCCCCTCCACTTAATTAGGCTCATCCTTCCCATGGTACTTACACCAGGGAGACTTCCCAGCCTTCAGTTATCGGGTTGGGTCAATCGGATATGTACTCCTACGTCTCACCACATCATTTCTTTATAGCCTTGGGCTTTCCTCACATTGGTTTGCTTAACCTTTGCCCCACCCCCCTCAAAAACTGAAAAATTGACTCCTTATGTCTTGTCTATTTGTCATATTCCTACATCAAGCTTAGTACACAGCCTAGTAGGTTAAACAGATAACATAGTAAACAGCAGAGCACAAGAAAATTATAATGAAAGAAATAATAAAGTTAATACCTAAGCTTAGTGTACAAAAGAACTGACTTCAGACCTAGTAAAAAGGTACCTTCTGGAACTAGCACCATAGAAACCAATAGTCAAGACATCCTCTTAATGGCTCTCATGGCATCTGCAAACCCAGGCCATACATGCTCAGAAAAGAATTCTACCTACCGCTTCCTCATGCTCCTTCCAGCAATCATAATCTGTTGCCATGGCGATACTCGCATAGCAAATTCCAGCCTCCTTGGCAAGAACCACCTCTGGAACTGTGGTCATGTTGATAACATCAGCGCCCCAGGTGCGGAACATGAAGCTTTCTGCCCGGGAGCTAAAACGAGGTCCCTCAATTGTGACCATCGTCCCTCGTGGATGGCACCGGAGTCCCAGCTTCTTAGTGGTCTCTATGAGGACCTGGAAAAGAACCACTCAACTCAAAGAACATACAAACTGAAGTATATTTTATTCTCCCCCCCGCCCGGTGTTTAACAAGTTGGCTGTTTAAAGCAGATTTCTATTGTAAGTGCCTAGTACACTGCAGGTCTGGAGGGAGAACCTGGAGACCACAGAAGCGTGTTTCGGAGACCCTCACTCACTCGCAAAATCCTCTGCTCCCCCAATTGGGTGCACATACAGCTCGGAGCTGTAAGAGCAAACGGCGAGCCTTTTCTAAGCAGGAGGCATTTGTTTAGAGACCTTATTCTTTTTTATTTCTTAACAGCTTTCAGACACTAAGTTGGGCTGTGAAATGGGCTTGAGTCTCGGCTCTTAACCTGCAAGGCTCAGCCGAAATGCCACTTGTCATTCATAGTTGAATGAAATGTGCTGAAAACTGTTTCCAGGTCCTGAGAAATTCATTCTCATTGCTCTTAATATGGAATCTGAAGACTTCTGTAAAAGCTTTTTTGGGTCAGAAAAATGATTTCTTCAATAATCTCTTTTGCCTGTAGCTTCTTCAAGGCCAGGACACAGTGCAAAAGCAGAGGGGCTGTGCTGATTTTTTTTCTCCCCAGGGATAATCTTACCAAGGCACACCTTTAGTGCAAGGTCACAGATACATTTTAGAAACATTATTAATTAAAGTTTGATCTCACTTTGTCCAGTGTTTAATTAATAACACACCCCTCATAGTCAGGTTAATTCATTTCATTTTTTCGCCTTAGCTGGTGCTTCAATGTTCCTTTTTAATTAAAATAAGTCTTTAAAACTTAACTGTCAACCTACTTAAGCACTGCTGAAAATTCACTTAACCTTTCTATGTCTTAGTTTTCTCTTTGTAGATTTTAGTTTTGTAAAATGGGAATAATAACAATGTATAACAAATATATTGTGAAGACAAAATGAACTAAGGTATATACAGCACAGAATTGTGTCAGGCACAGAATAAACACTATATAAATATCAAACCTGTCTTCTAAGGATTATTAATCCTGGCAGCTTCTACACATGTTTGTCAAATAATTGGCAAAGTTTCCTGTTGATACCATAAAATGGATTGACTCAAAGTCAATATAAGGCTCCAGTCTAGACCAAAGTTTGCCCTGTACACATCTTATCACATAAGCAAATCAACCTATTTCCTTAAACTTCTACTTATCTATGGCAAAGGGAAAAAGTTAACAAGAGCCTTGGCAACTCCAAATTTAGAACCATAAGATGTCAGTCAATGAATAACTGATACATCATCAGGCTTACATGCTGAAAATAAGATCACACTTAATTAGAACTTTCCCCTAAAGAGTATGAGCTATAAATGCAAGGGCCTGAACAATCACTCTTCTCCCCTTTCTACCTTTTCTTTTTTAAAAGTATGATATGATATAGGCAGTCCTATCTTTTAGATGTCTTTAACCATCCTGAACAAACAAGTTGCAAGTCTCATGTCTTCTAGAGATGTGTGAACTATATATACTACATGTAACTACATGTAGTTAAGCACGCATGTCAGTCCTCACCATCACCCTGGGTGGTGGGTGCCATGATGGGGAAGGGTGGGGAGAGGAAGCAGAGACACATGGATGTGGACATGCCATAGTGACAGACACAGGGCACAGGGCGTCAATTCAACCAGAAGTTTGCTCTCCCCAGGGATGAGGTAATACCATGATAAAGTACCAGAAATAAAAACTACAGGCTGAGATCTCAAGATCTGAGGCTTAGATGACCTCATTTCCTTGTCCTGAGTAATCAAAATGAACTCGGAATTCACCACCATCCCCACCAACTCAATAGCAATATTAGATCACCAGACTAAATGTATTTAACCTGCCAGGACTTTCAAGTTTGTCTTAGTCACCTGACAATTCACCTTCCTCAGTCCGCGAACAATCATGTGAATGTTGAAAGTTAAAGTGATAGTTGCTGAGGGGAAGCACCATTTACTCTTTACATTTTGGACAATGTTTAATAATAAAGAAATATTCTGAAGACTTACTTTCCCATTTCTTTAACTACCCCCACCCCCAGCACTCTTAGTCATTGAAATACTCATTGGTTTTGCTAAATAATAACAAAACTAATTTGGTTTTAAGTCAGGCCAAACGGTGTTAATATTGACTATCACCCAGTCACCACATTTACACATGCACACACATAAACACATTAGCACTTCCCTTACCACCTCTATTCTACTCATAGCACTGTAAATCACTGCTTTCTACCTGGAACAAGATTGCAGATTTCACACTGACTGGAATATTCTGTTCCTAAGTCTATTTCTCCCCAAGTTGGCTCCATTTTAAAGTGGACAAGAATTTTATACCTAGCTAATTTCTGCTGGAGAGCAAATTTATTATGTGGACAAGTCTGTTTCAGAGGCAAGACTTGCAGCATTCTGACAGATTTTTCTAACTATCCAGACATACACATATGAATAAATACATACAAACTGAACCTTCTGGTTTTTTAATAAGTAAAAAAATTCTTTCACAGAAAAAAATCAGAGAATCAACATCTGACTTGGTAGATCTGAACTGGCTCCCTATTATCCCTGGTTCTGGTTTCTAGATTTTTGTTTGAGACCAGGGTGAGGTTAAGGTACACTTGCTGTTAAGGGAACCAGCTTCATAAGGTCATGCAGGGTTGAATATAAAAAGGCAAAATAAATCTGTTTTCCTTTTCCAGGTGTTAAAATTACCTGATTAACATGTTTAGGTATTGATACTAAGCTAATTTATAAAAGTAGATTTTTTGAGGGTGTTTGCTTCAGATAACACTTCTGATCTTTTCAGTCACCTTGATTTTCAAAACTGGGATCAAAAGTATCAGGTATGAATCAAGCAATGAACTTTGGAGTTGTGTAAGAAACTTCTCTTCTCTGATAGCTTAAATTGTGATTCCTCACCTTCTCCCATCACTGGCCTTTGTAGGGCTGCCCTCTCAGTTCTGAGATTTCATTCCAATCCTCGAGAGGGGAAGATGGGCAGTAACGGCCAATTTCAATTCAAAGGCAAATGTTACAATCTGGCAATTTACAATCTATTAATAGTAACTTAATTCATAAAGGCAGTTACCAGTCACTGAATATTACTAACAGACAGGCATTGTTCAAAGTACTTTGTCAGTAGCAACTCTATCCCTCATGTGGGCCTATGAATACATGCTAGCATTATATTCATTTTACAAATGAGGAAATTGAAGCCCAGAAGTGTTAAGTAATTTGTCCAATGACACACAGCCATTAAACTGAAGACCAGAAATTGATCCTAATAACCTGGTTCTAGGCTTTATACTCTTCACAAATTTGCTATCCTCTACTAGATTATTTAAAAGGTTTCCTGACAGCAAAATTAACCTTATAAAAAAAGTCTGAGTGAGTCGCTCACCAATAACTGACGGCAAGGAGGCCTCATCACCAAAGGGAAACAACTCTTCATAAAAACTGGTGTAAGGAGCAAACTGGAGAGGAGAAGAGGGACTATGTGCTTAGCCCATTTATCTAACTCTCAACACCACCCCAAGTCCTTACAATTTATTTTGGTGTGCTTTTCAGAAGGATGACAAACCTCTCTCGTTTTGGGGCAGAAGGGTTCGGCCATTGGGATGTGACACACGCCTCTGGCACAGGGGTGACTCCCATCATAGAAGGTCTGAGACCTTTTGGCAGTCCTGCAAAAGAAAGTAAAAGGGTTTTATTTATTTATATTTTTTATATACAAAGGGCAGGTTTATTATAAAAAGGGTGAGAAGAGTAAAGGACACTCACACAGACACAAGCAGGCAGCCTTAGGAGGAGCTGCCTCCTCCTAAGGAGGAGCTGCTTTGCAAAGGGAGAAAATTGGTGAAGAGAAACACCTGCATAGTAACACATGGGCTGGAGAGCTGCTGCAAGGTTTTTAAAATTTTTATTTATTTTTTTAAAGATTTATTTTTTCATGCACATAAGAACTGGGGTACAGGCCAGAGATGCGGGAGGTGAGAGGACCCACCAGAGACAGAGTGGGGAACAGAACAGGCAGACCGACTAAAACACACTGCTGAGGGGAGCAGCGGGTGAGACAGGAGAGGTCTGCTGCACCATGTGGGTAGCTCCCTGGCCGGGGATCAAACTTGTGCTGCAGTGGCTGCAGATAGCTTCACAGGTTGTGTCTTAATCCCTTGCGCCACAAGGGAGGCCCTGTGAGGTTTTGTTTTTTTTTTAAAAGATTTATTTATCTATTTATTTATTTGTTTGTTTGTTTATTTAAACAAGCACTGGGTACAGTCAGAAGTGCGGGAGGGTGAGAGAATTCACCAGAGCCAGAGCGGGGAGCAGAGCAGGCAGAAGAGGTCTGCGCACAATGTGGGACTCTCCTCCAGTGGCCAGGGAGCAGCCGGGGATCGAACCAGCACTGCAGAGGCTGCAGGCAGCTTCACAACCCAGCGCTCAAACGCTGAGTCACCGGGGAGGCCCCCTTGTGAGTTTTTTTAAAGTCATCTTTCCATCCTCTGGAGATGGGTGAACCTAACCATTATCTAGGTCAATATCTTGGCCTCCACTTCAGAATCAACAGCTCTGGATAAGCTCAGTGGTTACACAACCATCTCCAGGATGGCATTTGGCTTTGCGGGCTCTGGGTTGGCGGCAACATGCTTTCCAACAGGAATTAATACATCTGTGGTCTAGTGGCTGGGACAGGTTAACCACACTGCATTGTAGGCATGGTGCCACTCGCTGTAGGCCTAGGAGCGCAGGTAAAACACTTAGTATGAAACATTCCAATCACCATAGATGGAAAGGACTGCATACCAAACACCAATTAGTGTTTGCCTAGATCCAACAATCACAAAATTTTGAAACACTTGCTTTCAGCAGTTGGCTTTTCCATGGTTGCAAATCCCAAACCTGTCATTTCACCTCGACATCAGGTGGACCAAAATATGTGATTACCCACTGCAGTGAATCTCTTTGTAAATCAAATGTGTGAATTTTGGGGATAAAATCTATAATAATTCCTGCAAAGCACTTCTACTACTGCCTTGAAGATCAATGAGGTAACAGGCCCAGCATCTAGCACACACTATTTGGTCACTTAAAGCACATGGGACACGGGTGCAGATGTAGTTGAACAGCATGTAGAGTAGGTCAAGGGAAGATACCTGCAGAGAGCTTGAGGGAAGAAACTAAAGCTACAACAGCCCCCAAGTGAGGTGAGGGTACCTTCCTGGAGTCTGTTCTTCCTTGCACTAAGAAAGACAACTAAAATCTATTCCTGACCCATGGACAAAATTTGCCTCACATGACATGTCAAATTGGTTGGACCTGACAGGAAGCTGTATTACAGCTTCTGGTTGAGAAGAATGAGAAGGATCATACACACCTTCTATGCGTGGCTGTGTTTCATACAGTAATGAGAGGTTTGTGGTGGCAAACAGAATGCCCCACTCTCCCCCAAGATACCCACATCCTAACCCCCAGAACCTGTGAAAACGTACCCTTATATGGCAAAGGGAAATTAAAGATGCTAATAACCAGCTGACCTTGAAACAGTCTAGCCTGGATTAACCTGCTGGGCTCAATGTCCTCACTGGGGTGCTTACACGTGGGTGAGTCAGGAGATGTGGGGACTCTGCGCTGCCATTGCTGGCTTGAAGATGCAGGAGGATCATGACAGCCAAGGAAGGCAGGAGGCAAAAAGGAAGGAAAGAAATGGTCCTGAGCCTCAGGAAGGAATGCAGCCTTGTGACATCTCAATTTTTGCCCAGTGTGACCCATGTTAGATCTCTAAGCTACAGAATTAAATAAAACCATGCTAAGACACTAAATTTGTGACATTGAGCCCAGCAGGTTAATCCAGGCTAGACTATTTTGAGGTCAACCAATTAGCATCTTTGATTTGCCTTTACCACGTAAGGGAATGTTTTCACAGGTTCTGGGGGTTAGGGTGTGGGTATCTGGTGGGGAATGGGACCTTGTTTGCCACCACCTTTCTTTTTGGTGCCACGGGAAACTAATACAGTAACGTACAACTCTTGCTCACATGACTAAGCAGGCAATTTCACTTCCCCATCTGCCAACTGAGAGCATGAAACAACTGAATTCAGGGGTATCAGTCTAAGTCAGGGGTATCAACCTCAAAACTGCTTGAGATGGTCAAAAAGGAATACATGGGAAGAAAAGTTGGTGCAGAAACACACATACCATATCTGTGGGAGGGTGAAGGAAACAAAATGATGTAAACTGATAACAGAAAGGAGTTTGATGGTCAAGAAGAGGACCCTGGGCACTTTCAGGCATGGGGGATGGATGGGGTAGGAGCCAGAGAAGGATTGTTTCTGGATCATGACTCTTGAGTAGTCTCAAAGATGGTCATCTCATTGTTTCTTTTGTGGAAGTCCTGAGCGATGCATGAGGTCAGGGGGAAAAACTTGTCACCCAGGAGAAACAAACAATACATCTTCTGTGGTGATTTCACAGCATAGGTGTGTCCACTACAAGTCTCAGCATGCAGGAACATGAGTCAAAAAATTTACTGGCAGGGGCCTCCCCGGTGGCGCAGCGGTTGAGCGCTGGGTTGCGAAGCTGCCCGCGGCCTCTGTGGCGCTGATTCCATCCCCAGCTGCTCCCTGGCCACTGGAGGAGGGTCCCACATGGCGCGCAGACCTCTCCTGCCGCCCGCTGCTCCCCTCAGCAGTGTACTTCGGTCCTTCTGCCTGTTCTGTTCCCCGCTCTGGCTCTGGTGAATTCTCTCACCCCCTGCATCTCTGGCCTATATCCCAGCTCTTCTATGAATAAATAAATAAATCTTTAAAAAAATTCAATTAAGAAACTAGATTAAGTGCCTCCCCTGGTGGTGCAGCGGTTGAGCGCTGGGCTGCGAAGCTGCCCACAGCCTCTGCAGTGCCGGTTCGATCCCCGGCCACCAGCGAGGGTCCCACATGGTGCAGCAGACCTCTCCTGCCATGCTCGCTGCTCCCCTCAGCAGTGTACTTCGTCAGTCTGCCTGTTCTGTTCCCCGCTCTGACTCTGGTGAATTCTCTCACCTTCCCATGCTTCTGACTGTACCCAGTGCTTGTATAAACAAACAAACAAACAAACAAACAAATAAATAAATCTTAAAAAAAAAGAAACTAGGTTAAAACAGAAAAGCCTTCCAAGCACCTCTTTTCATTAAAGCTTGAACTTGAATGAGAAAGTAGAGGTGCTTTCAATACCAAGTCTGTTAGTCTCCTGGATGCCCAGTGACTGTTAGCAATTAATCCTACAATTCCACAGACGCATTTATACATACATGACAATAACGAGAAATATAAATGCTATCTGAAGTTCTGTTGATGCAAACAGTGAACTGAAAACAATTCAACCTCTCCTTCCCTGCCTCCTCAAAATGCTGTTTATTTTTTAATTATTTTTTAAAGATTTATTTATTTATACAAGCACTGGGTACAGTCAGAAGTGTGGGAAGGTGAGAGAATTCACCAGAGCCAGAGCGGAGAGCAGAATAGGCAGAATGACGAAGAACACTGCTGAGGAGAGCAGCGGGCGGCAGGAGGGTCTGCGCGCCATGTGGGACCCTCACCCATGGCCGGAGATCGAACTGGTGCTGCAGAGGCTGAGGCGGCTTCACAACCCAACGCTCAACCGCTGTGCCACTGGGGAGGCCCTCAAAATGCTGTTTAAATCACACATCCACATGCAAAAGAATGAAACTTGACCACTACCTCTCAAAAATCAAATCAAAATGGATAAAAGAACTGGACACAAGACCTGAAATCATAAAATATCTAGAAGAAAATATAGGTAAAACACTACAAGACATACATTTTAGTAACATTTTTAAAGACTCATCACCCAAAGCAAAGAAAGTCAAGGAAAAGATAAAAACCTGGGATTACATCAAACTGAAAAGCTTCTGTACAGCAAAAGAGACTTTAACCAAAACAAAAAGACTCCCCACGGATTGGGAAAAAAATTTTGCACTCCATACAACTGATAAGGGACTGTTCATAAAGATCTACAAAGAACTCACACGACTCAACAAAAACCAAAGTAAACAATCCAGTCAAGAAATGGGCAGAACTTAAAAGATATTTCTCCAAAGAGGAAATGCAAATGGCCAACAGGCTTATGAAAAAATGTTCAACGTCCCTTATAATCAGGGAAATGCAAATCAAAACCACATTGAGATACCACCTCACACAGTAAGAATGGCAAATATCAAAAAAACTAGCAACAACAGGTGTTGGTGAGGATGTGGCAAAAAAAAGGAACTCTCCTACATTGCTAGTGGGAGCCCAAACTGGTCCAACCACTATGGAAAGCTGTTTGGAGGTTCCTCAGTCTACTGAAAATGGAGCTACCATATGACCCAGCAATTCCACATCTAAGGATCTAACCAAAGGACACAAAAACATTGATTCAAAAGAACACCTGTACCCCTATGTTTATTGCAGCACTATTTACACAATAGGTAAAACCTGGAAACAACCCAAATGTCCCCAAAATAGATGACTGGATCAAGAAGATGGGGTGTATATATACACAATGGAATATTACTTAGCAATCAAAAAAGATAAACTCATGCCATTCACAGCAACGTGGATGGAGCTAGAAGGAATTATGCTCGGTGATATAAGCCAGAAGGAAAAAGAAAAACATCGGATGGTTTCACTCATAGGAGGAATATAGG